CTTCCTCACCAGACTCCGAGCTGACAGAGGAGGGATGTATATCTTATGCACACAGAATGCCCCACCAGGCATCTTGCATACAACATACCCGTGTTTAAAGAATTTGGGGGATGAATGGTTTTAAAGCATTGCTCATGGCATGAGTAAATAAAATGGCACCTCTGCAGCATATAGTCAGATGGTGCCAGCAGTTTGGATTATATCAGCAAGGGGGTGATATTAATTCCTGAATGCTGAATCTGGAGAGAACAATCAATATTAACTATCAACTTTCACTCTGAACCACATCAGTATTTCTCTGGTTACAAATACCTTTCATAATATCCCAGCTCCATTAGAGAAGAGAAATTAGGCAACTGTGACACTACTTTATAAACTGATTTATCTGGAGCCCTGCCTTTGCCTGCGTAATGACTAAGTGCCCCACAAATGCTTTCCCTGACGCGTATTTGTAGAGTGATAGAACATTAGCTGCAGATTTAATGTCACCATGGTTATAATTTGCATGTGAATGAAAAGTTAACATAATGTAGAAATGTGAAATTAAACTGGTTGACTGTGAGCAGTAGTCCTGCTAAGATCCATTCATCTATCCTCATTATTTCACCTCTTGCCTTATTGTGTTTGCTGCTTTCTCCTATTATTCATGAAATTGTCAGATAAATCCCAGAGGAGGCACTAGCACATGGCTTCTGGAAAAGTGTTTGGAGAGCTTATGTTATGGGACCAGTGACGCCAACATGTTCTCCATTTTAAAACGCCAGCGTTCCCTTGCCTTGTTTATTGACCCTCAGCTTCAGAAGGAGAGGGGGAATTTGGATGGGAAATAGAATAAGAAAGCAAATTATCAGGAGGCTGACTTGTAGGTTTTTCTCAGTTTAAATGATACTTATAAAAGTAGAGAATACATGAGACTTTTAGTAACACTGAATCCACAGTGGGAACTATCTTGGGAAAACAACTGACATAATGATTATTATTCTATTCAGAGACTATGAGGAGAAGCAGGGAGGCAAAGGTCTTTTCTAATGCAAAATTCAGGAAAAAATAAACCAAACTACTATGGGTAAGTCACAGGAGATGAATTATGTCTTCAAGTTTTGTTTGCTCATGAGGTTACAATTGTGGTGCAATTTAAAGTGCTTGTCATTATTTTTCTTCCAGTAGGAAGATGAGTCAGGGAACAGTAAACCAGAAAGCAGATCTCGCTGGCTTTACCTGCTGAAATGTGATCTTGTGGAAAGTTAGGGGGAATGCTCCAAGCATCACTTTGGAGTCTCTGGGTGGCCTCTGCAAAGCACTCTCCTCTCATACCTCCTTGTCCTCATCTAAAGATGTGATGCCACCATCTATACCTTTATTCAATCAGAAGAGCAAAATAAAAATAACTGCATTTATTCTTAGTATTATGAGTCATTCAAGCAATAGGCAGGTGAAATGAAGGGCATTTTAATCTTATGTACCAGGGGACAAAATGTAGTTTGGATGTGAAAACAAGTATTTTATAGTTTGACAAGTTTTGGTGAGCTTGGTGACACTAAGCAGCTGTGTCATGAAAAGCAGCAGCACAGCCACGCCAGGTGGTTCGGCAGAACTCCTTTCTAACCTCTGCACACGCATTTTATGATTATGCCTCACTTAATCTCTCCCCCTCTTTTCAAAGTTCCTTTCAGAATTGGTCAGCTGGGAAATTAATTTCTAGAATTAGACTTTGTTACTAACCGCAGGCTGGATTCTCATATGTATGAGATAGTTAATATACTGCTCTGCTTGAAGCCTGGTAGGTTCCTCCTAATTCTATAACAATCAGATTTTAAATATTTTCCTGCTAATAAATTTTTACTTTCATAAAATTGACCCAATAATGAAGAAAAAGTCAGGAGGAAACCCTAGGGAATGAGGGTATAGAGAAAAGGCAGCATTTACCATTGAAGGAAAATATTTCCTAAGCTTAAACCAGAGCAAACAAAAAGCACATGACAATAGATAGTCCTAATAAAATTTTATTGAGAACCAGTAAGTTAAATCCTTTACAGAACATAGAAATACATATGATCCCAGCCCTTTCCAATAAATGGCAATGTAACATTGGCGTAGGATCCCTGAACATCCCGAACACTTTGCTTTACACCTGTAGGAGAGCAACAGCTCTTCTACAGCTTAACAATACAGAAACGGGGTGCTCTGACCTACTGCGGGGAAGCAGAACTGGAATTAGAATTCAGTATGAATAGTGAAAGGACTACAGATGAGTTGGAGTAGCCAAAGGAGTAGATGAATAAATGTTTACTCTTCACGTTTTGTATTTCAAACTCAGATACGAAAAGGCTGGGCATCATAAGATCAGGCACAAACTGACCTGAGGACACAGGAGCAAAGTCTATCTCTCAATTCAGTTATGCAGGGAAGTGGTAAAAAGAGAGAAAATGGCCACTTTTACCTAATACTCTACCCAACACAATACCAAATAACTGGAACTGACATCAGAGATGAAAAGGGAGCCAAATGGCTCTAAGGATTACAGACTTCTTGATGGGACCAAAGCTCAATGGGACTGATGTAAATAATTGATCATGCTGTTCACTGAAACACATGACAGGATAAATGAATACTGCTCAGTAAGGTTTTAAAGCTTTGCTACTTAGTCTTTGCATGGAGATGAGAGATACCTATTGAGTATTTTTTGGGAAACGATTTTGGGAAAGTTTTTTTTTTAACCAAAAAGATATCTGAGGGAAAAATGATGTAAGAGAAATAGAACCAAAATGATACTTCTTCTCAAAACTAAGAAAGGTTCTTGGTGTAAGAAAGTGTAGAAGTTTCTTTCCATCTCTATCATGGTGTTAGGGCATTAGTCTGAGTTTTACAGCCTTTGCCTGAGTTTAAAATTCTATCCAACTTTCTTAGCTCTTAAACATAAATAAAATGACAGCACAAATACAAAATCCTGCCAGTTTAATAACTCATAAAAAGCTAAAAAAAGAAACCTCAATTGGATTTGTATTAATAAATTTGTTAATGGATGACAGTAGTTAAATTGCAATCCAAATATGAACAAAAGTCTTACTCAAAATGTTCTTCAACCTACCTCGGTATCTTCCTAGGGCTAAATTAATCAAGATGTTTGGAGCACTGTGATCAGTTTCCCCTGGTTAAGAGAAAATGTTTTGCTCTTTTTTCCTTATATACTATACTAGCTAAAAGTGCAGGTATGGTAGAGTAAGACAATTTACTAAACCCAATGGTCTTTATTCTTTCAAGTTGGACCCCCAGCCAAA